AAGATACCAAGGAGGTGGATCGAGCGTGGAGTAAGGGGTGCAGGGGAGAAAGGTAGAGATCGTCTATAAAGAGCGATCGTAAAGTGGCGAACGTCACTTAAAGGGTCTTCGAGCCTCTATTACTTTGATAGAGACGAACCACTCCATGCTATTACCAATACACGAAATAAAAGCCAACTGGATAGGAACTGGAGGGAAGGAGGAGGAGTAGAAAAGGGGTGGCCACCGAGGCCCCTCGCTTTCGACACCACTGTGGCTCCAGCGTCACGGATTCCCTCCCTGTTTCGTTTCCTTCCACTTGTTCGAGCCTCGCGCCCCCCTCCTCTTCAAAGTGCCATTCGATCGGCCACGTTCCATTAAGGAAGGCCAAATATCGTTTTATCGACTCGCGACCCCCTCCCCCCATTCTTGAAAGCGTTTTTAATGGAAGTGATCCAGGTCGTCCTTCGTCTTCCGTCTTTCTCGTTCCTTCCTTCTCGCGATTCACGGAGCGTTGCTTCGACTGTTATCGATTTTATGATTATCCGTTTATGATTACAAGATCCGTTTTCCGTGATCCCGATTCTTTTTTTTCTTCCCCCGCGAACGATTGCGATTAAATCCGCGTTTCCAGCATCCGGGTTTCCAACACCCGAAGGTGAATTACAGCTCATCCGGATGCCTGGCCGATGTGAGATACGCTAATGGATTGCTCTCTACGTGATTCTTGATTTCGTAATTACCGAGTATTCCTTCGTTTTTTTGAACCACTTTTGTTGGAATTGAATTGAAATCGTTCAGATTTTGGATTCTGGATTTTGGATTGTTTATCTGAATTTTGTTTTTTTTTTTTTGAAGAGGAAAGGGAGTACTATAGTATTGTTTGAATCTTGGAGAAATGATGGTAAATGATAGTTGAATCGCATTGAATTTTACATGGAACAAAGAAGAAGAATTATTTTGAACATTTTTGTACGAAAGAAAGTTCTTGTATTTTTTTTTTCCTTTTCTCTTCTTTTTTAATTGTGAACAGGATACATGGATCGCAATTAGGACAGAGGGAATTGTATTTCGTGTATTAAAGGAATTTCATCTGTATAGAATGTGTAACACCATTGATGCGAAATGTCATGTTGAACTGTGGATTGATTGGCGAGTCTATTCTTCCGCGTCAGATCAAAGCACAAGCTCTTTCTATTTTCTGTTCATTTGATCGATATTGCAATCTTTGTGTCGGGATATATATATATACTATGTGTGTGTATATATATTATAACAATCTTGTGTATCGGGAATTGAATACAATAGAACATATGTTTGATTAAATTTTCTTTTTCATTCTCCAATCGTTGGGAGTCCCGTTTCAATCAAATTCGACAGATATCCATTCTGCAATTTCTTCTTCAATTATATCATTTTTCAATGTATTTACTTTTTTATTCATCGACGTGCGATTTAAATATTTAATTTGGCAAGAGATATTGCACGAAGTTAACGATATTCGATTTATGTAAAATAATTTTGATATCTTTTATTGTGCGTTCCATTTTTTATTTATTTTTATTTTAATTTATAATCTTTATTTTCTAATTTGATAGATGTTATTACGAACCACAGAAATAACGATATCTGTTTTTGTCGTTTAAATCCCATTCTTTAAATTGGATATATCATTACATTTAAATTTTTTTAAAATAAATTTTCATTAGTCTAATAATTCTTAAATTTCAAACAATTATTATTCTTTCCTTGTATTCGTCAAAGGAAATGTAATTAATATATTAATGCAATCGTGACTGTTCAACAAGGTAATAAAAATATTTTCCAACGAATCAGCATCCACGTTGATCCGTGATTCTTTTCTTCGTGAACAGTGCTCGATTCAAGCAATAATTAATCTTGCTTGCCAAAAAAAATATGTACATGTATATTGGAAGGGATGAAAGAGGAATGTAATTAAAGTATCAGTCGCCAAACGATATCACGCCTTGTCGTATCACAATTGTGTTTTTTTTTCCTCGACTGAAATCGATCGATCGTTTATTAATGCCAGAAAATAGAAAAATTTTCGTTGACGAGCGATCTAACGAGCGTATCATAATTCTTCATTAAAAGGCGTCATTAAACCGATATTGCGTGCCAAAATTTCGTAGAATTTCATATCACTCTCGTAATTACGAGCCATTGTCTTGAAAAGCCCTTAAAAATTATCGATTGGATCGCATGGTGAAGTCGTAAACACGGTTTTTTGAATCCGTTATTAATCGTGATTTGATCAATTTCTTTCGAGTAAGAGATTTGATACGAAGATCGCTTTATTATTTTTTTTTTTTTTTTGAAATTAAGCGTTTCTTCGTGCAAGAAGTTGTAAAGTATCATTGAGAATTTCATTAAGAGAAGAGATTAAAGGATCTTGACATGGTTAAAAGATGTCAAAAAAGAAAAAGAGAATTCTGGTTTTATGTCGAAGACTACTAGAAGTTTTTTGATAAAGTTTAAACAACATTTGAAGTGGTTCTTCCAAGAAATTCGAGGCACTTTCTTTTTCTTTTTTTCTTTTTTCTTTTTCTTTTTCTTTTATTCTTGTTTCAAGAAGTTAAAGCACAATTCGTTGAATTTTATTTTCATCGAGATAAGTTTCTTCTAATCTCCCTGTTTGCAATGAAAATATAATAAAGTTTTTAATGTGAAATTACACTTACGAGATCATGTAATTTCTCATAATAAACGAGTTTTCATAATGCTTGTACGGATTGTTAAATAAGGAAAAAATTTTGTTACTTTGGAACTTGCTTTCGTATTTATATGTTTAATCCTTTCTGCAAGTAGATTGTGGCGAGAAAACCACATTTCGTAGAGATCTCGGTTCTCTCTCGACTAAATAATATGTACAAAGCGTGAAATTTAAAATCGTTGTATATGTTTGTTCGTAAGTTGGATATAAAAGTATAATTTCGTATTCTTTTATTCTCGAGCATAAATTGTTTTATGTGATATATCTTTTATAAATTTGTGATAATAACTGATTTATTAAATTTTAATTTATTTTTAAAATTAAACTCAAAATTACAGAAATTCTCTTCGTAAAATAAATTGTAACAATTTATCAAATAAATGGAACAAGTGGATGCTAATAGTGGATGCTAATTAATTAATTTCTAACTAGCATTTGCTATAATTTTACTCAATATTTCATATCTGATAATTATACCATACTTACAACCCCCATTTATTAGGTTTCGAGTGATGTCATTGCTCGAAAAGTTGGTGCAATTAATAGTTCGAGATAACCGATAGTCCATTATTAAACACTAAAGTGCTGTTAATATATTTTATTCGTAAACACAGAATTCCCCAAACGTTATAGGGAAATTTGTTGGAAGCAGGTGGAACGCATTCGTGGCTCGCAAAATGACTGAACTTACTATTTTATTACTTATCCATTACTATAAATGATCCATAGCTATTTAAATCGTTTGCAAAATGTAATTTGTATTGTTTTACGTTATTAACGCGTATCTTTTATAGTATAGAAATTTATTATACAAGAAAAATAATTTCTGTTGTTCATTTTACAATAAAATAATTAAAAAATTGAATTCACTTTGTGCACGTTCCTGATTAAAATTTCTTAACAAATTTAAACAACATTCTCCCCTGACTATTAACTGATTACATTTTTTTAATCAATCACAAACGATTCATTCCAAATTCTTAAAATTTCTACGAAGAAAAAAAATTATCAAATTTTCGAAACGAAAAGATCGATGGAATCATGATCGTGAAAATTCTTCACCAACATTATATCTGGCTTCAGAGCAAAGAACGAGCAAACACGTTCGACAAAATTTCCCTTTACGACCATCTTTGCACCATCTAATCCGTCTCGTAAAAGCTTCACGGAATAGGGCTCGGAGGAAGCTCGAAGCCGAGGGCGAAACAGGAGGAAAGATTTTCCGAATAAAAGAGACGAAAGGGGTGAAAGGGGCAAAATCGAGACAAAATTTCAGCGCGGATTCCGCAGACAGGAAGAGACAGCGCTGTGGTTGGGATTTTTCTTTGCCCTCCCCTCTGGTAATTTGAAACGTTAAATCGTGCCGCTGTAATTTTTGCATGCCGTCTTATTTTCTCCTGGTTTTTCGTTATCGCCTGTAAATCTCGTTGAAGTAGAATTCAGGATATTGGACGAGAATTTAGAAAAAAGGAGAAAGTTTTTTAGCTAATGATTATGTGTGGATTACGTGGAAACAGTTATTGTTTCTCTGAATAATTTAATTCTTCTTTCTTCTTTCTTTTTCTTCCATATAAATTGTTACGATAGATTTAATTAATATGATATGATTTTAAGAAAATAAGTTTTCTAAATTATTATATTTGTTATTATTTCATATTTTTTTTTAAATTTTATTCACTTTTTTTACGTAAATATTTATTATTAGGAATCAAGAGTAATTTTGAATGAATATTAATATTTGTTAATCGAGAATCATCCGAATTGTTTTTAAAATTAAGGATTAATGGGTGCCGAGATACGATGAATAATTAATTAAATCGAAGAAAAACTGGAACCAAGTTTCCATTAAAAAATATCAGCAAAGAATATATCGACGACGAAGTGGATAAAGTTATGAACATCGTATTTTGTATCTGTTTTCACTGTTTCAATTCCAGATTGCTTTTAAAAAAAACTGGTTCTTTTTGTTTATCTTCGATTCCGTGGAACGAAGATTGATTTTCTGCGGATGAAACAGTAGACAAATTATACTTTAGAGATACAGATTGCTCGTGGATGAAAAACAAGGAGCAAGAAAAATATCTTACCCTTTCGTTTATTCTGGCAAACGTTATAAAATGAGTTATTGTTAATAAAATAAATTCAAGCGTATTACACAATGTTTTATTTAAATGTGTTTCTCAGATTTAGCAAGAAATAATGAATACAATTATAAAAACTGTTTTTAATTAATAAAGAAATTGTGTACAATTGTTAATCATTCTAATATCGCTTTTCTCTTTTCCAGAGCTTGCCACAAACACCAGCTGGCGGTGTGGGTGGAAAAGGAAGCGGAAGTGCTGGCACCGGATCTGGTATGGTCAATGGTTCCGGTACCGATCATCAAGATATTCGTGACGGTGCTGCTATAAACACAGAACACGTGAGTAATCTTTCGATTGATAAAACAATTCTCTCTTTTTTACTCACAAAAAATTCCACAAATTGCGAGAACGAAGACAACGATGATTTTATTCATAAAATTAATCGATTTTTAAAATATCCACTACTTCCAACGAATCCTCCTCGAAATCTCGCTCTTCGCACCTAATACAAATTTCATATTACCTCATATCTAAATTACATTCCCCGCTTAATCAATTCATCACAAATCGTTACATCTAACCTACCTTCATCTAGTTCAAACGCCGTATCGTTCCTCCGATTGCGTTAAATCAAAACCTTCACAATTCCTTAATTACTCGATGGTATTTTTGCGAAGAATCCGCGAGATGGCGTAGGAAAATCGTCTCGTAAAAAAAAAAAAAAAAAATCTTCGTCTCTCGCTTTCAATTCCCTAGAAGAGGGAAAAGAAAGGAGAGAAAAAGCTCGACGATGACTCGGTCGAACGGACAAGAACAAGAATCGGCCTCTCCTCCCGTTCTCTCTCTCGGCCCCAATGATTGCCGTTACTGTTCTTCACGAAACTTTCTTAAAAGTGGCGTGGACGAGAAAAGTTTCGCAGTGAAAGCAACAAAGTGAGTCGTTCACCGTGCCGGCAGCCATTGTTCGCCTTCTTTTCGCCTTATTTCGCGGCCACTTTTATATCGTCCAGATATCCGGATCCAGAAGAAGAAGCCATTGGCGTGTGGAGATCGGCCGCTTCGGGAATTTCTTTTCCCCGATCTTCCTTTCTTCGTCGAAAAAAGTTATTTCTTACGATTCATTGACGTTGTTAATCGACAAGGAATTTCGTAATATGTGCGTTACTGTGGATGTATATCGATGGGGTATAGTCGATTCTATATCGAATTGGAACGAATTTTGTTCGATAATTATTTAATTTTAATCCCCTTTTGGTAATTAGTATTATTATCGAAATAATATCGAGTTTTCTTTGGTTCTTCTTGGAAAATAGTATTTTATCTCTTGATACTAGCGATATCTCGTTTTTCTCAATTATTTTTAATGCCTTCTTATTGATCATAGCAATATTTTGATTGGTAATTTGCTTAATATATATTTAAATAATTAATAAGATATTAGAAATCGTTTTTATTGCTTATTATTCGTATCTCGGCTACGTGGCGAAAACTGTGACGTAGACCGTCAATTCGAAATAAAGAAAAAAAAAGGGAAAAGAAATAAAGAAAGAAGAGATAGAAAAATATGGGAGGAATCGAAATTCGGTGGACATAACTCGGCAATCCAGGAATTAAGCGATTAGTTGCGAAGTTAACCATTGTTTCAGCCAGTTCATCAATCGAGCCTCCTCCCATTTCATCCCTTTACGCAATCACATCCCCCCTTTCCACCCCATCCGATCCAATCGCCCGATTTTCGCACGTTGATTCATTCGCATGGAATTAAAACCTTTATCTGCGTTTCTCCGCCTGCTTGGTCGAGATTCGAGCGACGAAAACAGACGTGCACGAGGTGGTGGAGGGATGGAAAGGGGTGGAGCTCTCCTCGTTCGAGAGCTCGGTGCTCATCGAATCGTTTGTTTCGAACTGTTACGCGTTCCACGTTGATAAGCAACGACAATTTTTGTTGTATCGTCTTCTTTCTTTTTTTTTATTATTTTTCTTTCTTTTCTTCTCTTTTTTCTATTTTTAGCTTGAGATTCCGACTCTACTATTTTTCTTTTTGTCCTGTTTCTAAAAGAAGAGGGATGGAGTGTGTCATTACTGGTATGAACGGTTCGTTTCTCGTCTCTTTGTTATTTATTTTTTTTCTTTTTTTTAAAAAAGGAATAAAGAATAAGATCGTTTTTATATTTTTGATTGTAAGATATTAAGATTGATTAAAAAGCAGATGGAAATTAATTAAATAATCAACTCCTTTTGATTCGATTAAGATATTTATTTTCAATATAAATAATATTTGTTTGGATACTATTCTTCATTTATTTTTAAAGATAATCTATTTTCAGAATCTTATCGTTCCATATTTTTCCATTTCAGTGAGTTATTCGTTTGATTATTCATTGTCTTACAATTTCTCTTACAAATTTTACAGACACCGCATTCTTTTATTCTTTTTTGCACCATGTTCTAATTTCTTTCTTTCTTTTCTTCATCTTTTCATTTTTTTTTTCTTCCCACATTTTTTTCACTTCAAGATTCTGCAAAGTCTTACCTAATTACGTCTTCCCTCTTTATCATTCAAGATTCTAATTTCTTTTAATACTTTTTTTTACTTATTACTTTATTAATTTAACGATTTTCATTCATTTTTTCGATATTTGATTTTCTTTTTTATTTTCTCGTTTCATTTTACTAATTTTTACCAAATTTGACGTTTTTCACTAATCCTTTTTTTCTTTTCTTTTTTTCTAAGATGAAAAGATATTTTCTGCAATTTTCGATGATATGCTATCGATTTACATGAGATTGCGGAAAAATAGCCAGCCACGTTTCCCCACGTTGGTTATACGGATTCTATAAACGAAAACCGAGATAGGAGCAGAGGAAAATGAGAAGGGCTGCAGCCCAATATTTCTTCTCTGAGAGACGAGGGTTTCCAGCAAGTCATTGTGCCTTATAGTATTTTAAACGACTTCCTGGAACAAATAGTTTCTTCTGATCCACGAGAAAAATCGTTCAGTGCTCGATGTCAATTTTCATCCAGATAACCATAAATTTAATTAATTCTTTACTCGCGATAAAAATTAGATCTTTTTTCTTTTTTATATTAATTTCTAATCAACGAAACAGAATATTCACTTGAATTAATTTCAAAATAGATGGAATGAAGTAAAAATTCAATTTCAAATAATATATTTTTCAATTTACATATTTCATACAATTAAGAAATCCTATCAATTATGATAATATAATAGTACGAGATAAAAATATTTAAAGGATGAAAAGAAGAAATCTTATTCACAAAGACAATATCAATTTTCATAAACATTCCATAGTTTAATGATCAAATTAAATTTCTCGTTCAATCTTTGACAATAAGTAATATATTATTTTTCAAGGGAAATCGAAAAATCATTTTAATTTCTTCGAACAAACTTGATCGGTAAATTAAATTACAGGATGAAACAAATGCGATGATTCGATAATTTTGGCAGCGATGAGGCTAAATTGCGTCGACATAACCGTATCTTCCCAAGAGTTTGTTACGGGTTATCTGAGTGGGGCAGTTAGCCGGAAACCATGCTGACTATGAAGTTGCATCTTCTACTTCCCTTCCTTCGTTAAACACGCTCGCTAATTCCTTAATAAGAGAATACTTGGGAACTGATGATTGCGCCAGTAATCTCTCTTCCACCATATATATATATACCGATATATGCGTGTATGCATAAGTAGCTCTCCTCTGATTGTTGTACGTGATCGTCGTGGAAATGAGACGAAAATCGATTCGATGCGTTTGTTAAACGGCAGATTCGTCGATGTACACTAAGCTTTATATACAGATTATTATTGAATAATTTAAAGACTCGAATATCGAAATTATTTACATATATAGATTATTGATGCAGTTTGATCGTTTGATTAATTCCGACCCATTAATAATTTTGACTTAATTATTTCAGATTTGAAGATTAATACACAATGCATAATTTCCTCGATTTTTGATATTGAATTACTTATGGAATGGAATATGGATCGAATACTGGCACGTGTTCAATGTATATTTAATGTTAATTAACTTTAATTGTATTAAAGTAGGAAGGAATTTATAGGACGTTATACTTTCCAAGATTATTTCGATAATATTTCTTTGCAAATTCTTCAAAATCTGTCATTTAACTAGATCTGATTTCAAACATTTAAAATTCATCCAATTGACTCGCAAAATATTCGCTGTTTCAAAATTAAATATAATTATATATGGAAGTATTATATAAGGAATAATTCTTGTTTAATTAAAGAAATGAAGAACAATTACATCGAATATAATCATCTTCCGTCAATTTAAAATTCTTTTGAGTTAAATTCGATGATAACTCACCACGTCAATGAACCATTCAATCGTAGAAAAGAGAAGAAAAAAATAAGTCAAAGAGTGATACGGTCATCGATCCAACTTTCAACGTACGATTATTCATCAATGTAGGGAAAATTTTTGAAGTCACAAAAGTGGCTTTAGCAACCCCGGAAGTCGGCGATATTCCGGAGGAACCGGAGGTAGGAAACGAGAATAGTGATTCTGAACCGTGGCCACGTCACACATCCGTCCATGTTTTATTTTCCATCCTTCTTTCCTTTTCTTTTCTTTTTTTATTTTTTTTTTTTTTCATGCACCAACGATCAAACAGGAGGAAGAAAAAAAAAATTAATTCTCGTAATTGCGATTCAAATTTCTTACGAGCGAACCACCCTTCTCTCCCTTCATTTTCATCCCGTTTTCCTCTTTTTCTTCTTCTCGAGAAACCTTTGTTCTCGTTCCTTTCTTTATAACAGCGTTGCTTTTTCTTTCCTACTTCCATTGACAATTCGCGGTTCACCGTGATCCCGGTCTTATATTTATTTCCTTCGAGGAAAAATTCTACGCTTTCTCGTTTACTTTCCTTTTCTCTCACCCCCCCCCCTCTCGGGTTCCTTACTTTCTCGTTTTCATTAACGCCTGACCTAGGTTGAATTTTCCTACGTTTTCTCGCGTATTAACAAATTTCTCCCCTTGTTGTTCCCTTCCCTTTTGTTGTCTTTTACTAATTTTTTTTATAGCGTTTCTTATTTTGAATACTTTAAAAGAAATAATACTTTAATAGAAATACTTTTTATTTTGTTTATTATTCCATATTTTTATACTTTTTAAAATAAAAATATTTCAGAAAGTATATTAAAGTTGATTAAAATTTAAAAGTGCTCAATAAAAATGACTTTAGGAGAATAATTTAATATGATTTTTCTTTATCTTCCAATTTTTCGCAAACTGTATTTTCTCCGCGAGCCTTGGACTCGTTTTTCTTTTTTTTTTTTTTTT